CTAGCCGGCAGAGACCGACGTCAGCTAATCAGCATGCAATAGGTTTTGAGCTACGCAATATGATTCGTGGTCAACGCGTACTAAGCTTTCGCTGCAAACACTGTTTAGCCTGTGCCAAGATGGAAAACAGTTCTTCCCAAATGAAAATATTTTACAATTTCCTTTCGTTTATATAATTTATTTTCCTTTTTCATCATTCTGTGTTTAAATGTCATAAAAACATGACAAAAAAGATATTTGAGGAAAGTGGTAGGCATAGGTATTGAATATTCCCCTTAATTAGGTCAGTTATCGTGGCCTGGTGACCTGACGGTGAAGGATCTAGATCTGACATTTCGAATCATGTGCACAAATTGTGCATTATAAGGCCTGTGCAAAAACGCAACCTTTTTTAAATATTTGCGATAAATCTCATGGGAAGCCGGTAACAACGACCCCTCCGCAACAGCGCTGGTTAATTAACCGAACAGTTCGGTACCCTCGACATTCGACAATAAGTGACCAATTGTATTGATAATATACAATCTGAGGACCTGAGAAGCAACGCAACTTAACTATAGGGGAAGTTGGGGGAACGCCGAAGACTTTTTTTCTGACGCCCGTAGCACGCAAGGTAGACAACATAAGCTATTCTTGTTGGCGTCATTCGAGAGGCCAGTCTTTTGCCTTTCAAACATACCAGGCGCATTTGATGAATTCGCATACCGTTAAGCGCACAAACTAAAAATACCAAAGAAGTGACTTTTTCGGCGTTGCCCCGGACTGCGGGGAAGCCGAAAATGGGAGAAATAATCTACGGGGAATGCCGACATTGATATTTTGCCATTTTATCTCAAACTTTATCCAGAATTCATCAAAGCTGACACGCGTTTTAAGAGCTTGAGGACGCGGTGCACACTGGAAGTTATAATTGTGTGATATAATAAGAAAATGCCAGGTAAATCATTCCTTATAGGTAACAGGCCGTTGTGTCGGTTGAAAGTGTAATTTGTGCGACTAAAAATACGCGTTGCTATTCTACAGCAGTAAAGTCCACGTAGCGTGCTTTTAACACGTGCGTAATCGCACGTTTTCGGCATTACCCAGCCTGCCATACTTTCATTTGCAGGCCCATAACTTTTCAACGTGCTGTATAAATTTCAAATAGGCAGCACACTTATGCAAAGACATGCTAAAGATTACTTGACCGAATTGGCTAGACAAACGGTAGCACAATGAGTAAGAAATGCAGCTTCAAAGGCGCATGTAGTACAAGGGAAACGTACCTTGAAAACGCTCTTGGCGCCCTCACAGTCGAAGTATTCCGAATGACGACTCGTAACAAACATGCGATAATTGTAGTCACTTAAGCTTCAGAGCATCACTGACAGGTGGCATCCATGTGTTACGGTTTTCGAAATATCTCGAATTTCGGCTTTGCCCCAACTCCGGCATTGCCCAACTTCCCCTAATACATAATACTCAGCAATATAACTACGACTAGACGTAACACACAGCATACCATTACCTACGTTAGCCACATCGTGATGCATTCCATATTCACAAATACCTACACATGGTATAATAATTAAAGGGACCCTCCCACCTTCAAAAAGTTAATGAATTGGCATGACTGTGATGTCGCTCGGTTCAGAGAGAGTGAAAACGAATATCTACCAAATTTCACCGAAAATATATTCACCGGTTTTCAAGATATTAGATTTTTACTTTTGTTTACTTTTTGGGATCTCCGCTGTTCCTAGCGACTTTATTTGAAAGTGAGGCATTTGTTGCGCGCAAAGCAGCATATACCACCGCGTGCTACCAAACGTTTAAGTAAAAGATTAAAAAATCGTTAGATCTCCGCTGACGTCACAAATTCTAAGGGGACATTCCAATGCATTAGCCCCTTAGAATCCGAGAACTGTAAGTTTGAAATTCCATATCTCCAAATTAAAGTATTTTTCGATCTTGTGAGTGCCCAAACCGGTATTTTCAGGCCATGGCCACCAATTTGGCTATCTCAACTCAAAACTAATGGTTAAGGTGGGATGGTCACTTTAACAGTACAGATAATATAATTTTTAAATCAACTCAGGCACATACAATATTCACGATTAATGACGCAGACATTTTGAGCTACGAAATAGTTTCATAGCCTTTAACAATTGGTAAATAACACTGAAGAAACACCAGCACCGTTTTAACCATCCAATAGACACATACTTTTTTGAGCGTAATGAGTCACCTTTAAATCACACAAAAACAAATATCACCATAATTTAGCACGGCTCGTTTTGATTCATTCCGCGGAGAGCAGATGCCACCGACAGATTTGTACACCCTGGGCGTCGCGGGCGTCCGCCCAGTGGCGGCGCTCTTCACTGCTGGTGCTGCTGTGGCCCAGTCCGAACCATCCGATCAGGTCCCGCTTGCGCATTGTCCGCTTGTTGTAGACACTTACTATGAGCGAGACATCCGAAAACTGAAACAGCGGCAGCTGCAAGAAAGGCGCTTCTGTTGTCACTCTGACATCTTATAGACATAATTATTTTAGCAAAATGTTGCAGCTTTCTACTCTTTCTAGCAACTCTTTCCACTCTTTCTAGTGACGTCACTGGCTCACCTGGAACATCAGAGTCTCTCTGAAGAGCGGGTTGATCTGTGCCCTGCGAACGGAGGTTTTCCCACTGGCCAGTTCGCTGCCGCTGCTGCTCACCAGAAGTAAGCGAACATAGGTGTCCGGCGCACGGCTGCCAGAGTTTGACCTGCGAGCGGTCAACGGGTCAACGGCAGAGGTTATTACAGGTCATGCTAGTTGATGTTCATAAACAAAGGCTACAAGTATGTCGACTTTCTTAGGGCTAAATTAGGCGGAGCTAAAAAGAAGAAGAAAAGAAAAGAAAACAGACAAACACAGTCGCAAACAGATCACATAGTTCTTTAGTGGGCTTTATGATTTAGGTAATGCCAATTCCCAGGTCAGCAATACAGTGTCATCCTAAATAGCCCGCGACCGCCTGGGGGGTCGGATCCGACCCCCCCTCCGTTTTTCTTGAATAACTCATGAACCGCTTGCGCTATCAACTTGAAACTTCGCATACCTTCTCCCCCATCAATTTGACGTCTCCTGTGCAATTTTTAAGAAAATTTTCAAAAATTTCTGAGATATATCGATTTGTGATGTAACTACAAGGCGTTTTCAGTCAAAAAATGGTAAATGTTTAAAAAATCGCCAAAAATCGAGGTTTTAAGCAAATTGCAAATTAAGGACATCAAAAGACGCAGCTCAACGAGTTCTTTAAAATGGCTATCTCGGATTTTCCATAAAATACGTTTTTCACCCCTAAAAATTCAAAAAACTATATTTTTTGGAAAACAGCTAATAAAATCCAAAATTTTGAGAATTTCCAAAAAACCGGAATATATGTATAGAGCTCTATTAGAACATTAGATGTCTAAAATTTCAACTTTCTATCTTGATTTTTGACCCCCAAATTGTAAAAAATAGCTCCAATATGCATAGGGCATGGTGACGTCATAAGCATTTTCGCGAATTAGAGGCACTTCTGAACATCGCATGTGAAAACAAATGGCACCACTAGATTCCTGGGACAAAGCTCGTCTAGAAAAGTGTATTTTTATGTCAAAAATAAAAAGTTTAAAAATTGACTTTTTTTCTTAGCCCTCGTTTAGTTATGTATGGTATAAACGATTTTTTATGCTTTCAATGCACACTTATCACCAGCACAGTGACGTGGGGTCACATATAACCATTACCATCGATTTGGCGTGAAAAATAAGCCATAAAACATGTGTCGCACGCCCATGTAGCAGAAAGTGAAAACCGTGACCTTTCGTGACCTGACCTGACCTTGACCCGTACTTAGTATGACCCCTATACGCACATGGTACCTTCACTATGTCTTTGAGGTCATTTGTGGTGAGTTTCGAGCAGCAGCTATCGATTCCGCTGTCCGTAAGCCTAATCATGCAAAACCCCTGAATTTGACCTTGACCTGACCTTGACCCGAAAGTTGACCTCAATCTTAAAATCTTGAAGGTGCTTTGGGAAGGTCTCGTAGAGACCTTTCGAACGCCGCCTCGCGGGGCTCGATACGACCATTGGTTCTCGAGATAACAGGGGGGGGGGTCGGATCCGACCCCCCCCCCCCAGGCTGATGTGGGTACGGAAATAGCCCAGGCGGTGCCGGGATAGCCTGTCAAAGATAATAAGATAAAAACGAAAAAGAAGACAAGCAACACGGGTGGCATCGGTACGGGACCGCCTCGTGAGACCTCCCACCTGAAGTGTGATCCTTTGACGACCTCTGCGGCGAGTCGGCCCGTGGTGCGGCTGTACTGCAGACCCAGCAGCAGACCGGGAGCGCCCCAGCGCGGCAGGGTGCGAGCGCTGCCGGCACTGGTCACCACTGGACTGGAGGCGCCGCTGCCGCGCCCCACCGCCCGCTGGAAACACCAGAGAATGGGCTCAGTGCACACTGTCAGCCGACGGTTCACCGGTGAAAGAGACCGACTGACTTCAGCCGAAAGCTCCTATTCTACTAACTTTTCACGAAAGCGGACAGTCCTACTCGCAATACAGATGCAGGCTTGTGGCCCGGCTGTTACATTTAAGGCGGTACGGGAGCAATAACAATACGAGTATATCATTGTTTCATGAGAATAAGACATAGATACACTGGTGGCACAGGAGCCAGAGCATGTCCTTTTATAACCCTATCTTGGATGTGAAAGGCAGCTCATCTGGAGATAAATGAAACATTTTCGTAAGCTATCACGGACACTATTCACCCCACTCACACCTGTAGACTTTGCACGTTCCATGTTCATTATAATTCAGATTACATGCATAAAATAGTGCAGTGCCACACACCCCACACACCCAGACTCAAACGTAAGCCGCGTTTGGTGCGGCCGTTTTAACTCCGTTTTAACTCTGATCACTGATCAGCTCAGAGAGGCTTGCAGCCCGAGTCAGCTCCATTCTTCTTACCCCGCTGTTGACGTGCGGCCTCAGAGAGAGCCAGATCGAGGTATGGCGCTGCAATCTCTCCGGAGTGCAGGGCAGAACGGCCTCGCCCAGAGTCTGGTGCCGCCGCAGACGGTCACTGGCCAGGAGTCGTAGCCGCACCGCCGACTCCCGCAGGGCCTCTGTCGGGACGGGTAGTTGCATGGGTAACTAATAACTATGCTGAATATATTATGTGGAAAACTGATATGGAAAACAACATTAATCTAGGTTGGATGCAAATGAATGCACTGCATAAATGAAAGTCATGGTTAAAATCACGAACATAGTTTTGTGATGAACTAAGCTGTTCAATAAAATTTAAATGCATGACTCGTAGATAATAATTTATATAAAATATAGAGAGGAACCTACGCAATAAAAGTGCAAATAGAGTAGTGGTTTACCTGGCTGTATGTTGTCAAACACGAAGGTCTGGTTGAAGCGAGGGTTATCGCCATACTGCAGTTCGCTCAGGAATCTCTGTTTCTTCTCTGGTAGCAGGGCTAGCTCCACCTGAGGCGTTCAAACGGCCGTGAGGCGAGGGTCTTTCCCTCTCGCAACGCATCCAAACATGGTAACTTCTAGGTACTCGCTGAAGGATGTGCGTTTTTTTTTTTTTAATGGTAAGCAAAGAACAAATTAAATAATAAAGTGTAGCATGGAGTTTACATGCATAGGAAAAGTTTGCAAAAAAGATGACATTCATATCCAGTGTTGTTTTTAAAAAGCATCTGAAATCAATCGGATTAAAATCTTAGAAGTATGCCCTAAAGACAATTAAAAATGACCCTAACCTCCTAGTGATTCGCCGTACCTACCTGTGTGTAGCTTTGGCTCTCCCGACTGCTCAGCACGCCTCTGGCCTGGACCACCCTGACAGTGAGCTTCTTGTTGAGCCGGTCGTACGCCCCGGAGACCTCCAACTGACCACTGCTCCAGCGTTCATCGTTACCGACCGAATCCACGTGCAGCAGATGACCCTGTCACAGCGTGATGTGGGGAGCGATTGGTGAAATATCGCGGTGAATGGATCCGATTGCGTGTAGATGGCTCGATTACATATACCGCTTTTTTAGCTTTGTGGTTTGGTTGTAAGCGTATTTTTCATACAATATTGCACGTTTGATGCCTATAGGTGAATGCGTATGACAATTATTGAAAGTTTCAGACCCAATTCAAATATGCCTGCTACATGAAAATGAAATAAACATTTATAGTAACAACGCAGGACAGTTTCCCAATGCATGGCCATGCATTTTTTTTTTTTTAGTGTGGGAATTTGGCGAACGAAAAATTGCCATCCGAAGGGCGCGGTCGGTCGGAAGCCAGCGGAGACGGCTGCGGCGATATACCGACGCTCACGTGCAGCTCACCGACACTCACATGCAGCTCACCGACACTCACGTTGGTGGAGAGGGACGGCGCCGAGCTGGAGCTACCCAGTGACGTCACGTCGATACCAGAACGCCACGCCCGCAGCGGCGGCTGGAACGCCCGCCTCTCCAGCGCCTGTGTCAGAAGCGAGCGGCTGTTACAGAGATGAGCCAGTCACAATGAACCGCGAGGAGCGTCAACGAGTCAAACATTCTAACCTTTCGGTGATCATAGCTTGGTCAGCGGCCACCAGAGCTGAAATCGAGCACCTCCGATATCGGCGCTAGCTGCCCAATAGTAGCCATTTGCGCTGTTTGATAACAAGTATTTTTGGACGGGAGAGTAGCGCTTGCACACTACTTGGTGACAGAATTAGCCCATTATTTTCCTTATATTCTATAAACCCACGTCGCTGAAGTAGTCTCATTAGGCAGTTCCTTCAAGGAGGCCTTAGATGCAACCTCCATTACATAACTGGATTATATGCGTGCTTATTCAAACGCGGTGTAGTTTCTCACCTTCAGTAGTTTCCACTCCAAGTTGAAGAGTGACCTGGATCGGGTTCTATGCTTGTGTACGGGCGGAGACCGGGGCCGTTTGCGCCGTACGGGTCGGTACGGGTCGTACGGGTCGTAACCGCAGAGACTGGGACGAGCCTGACGGGTCGCCGCCGGCGCTGGCGAATTCGTATCGACACTGGCGGCTTTACTTGACTGTAGTACAGAAACATACATGTGTCGATACAATGCGTAAAGGTAAATGCATATAAACTACACCTTTTGTCAGTTCCTTTCGGTACGTAACTCGTCCGTTTTAGAACTAGCGGATTCTTCGGATACCGCAAAGCGATGCATCAGTAGGTAAAGCATTGCATGGCGGCCGCGGTGATCGGCATTAGCCGTTTTCACGACGGGCTATCTCATCTGGGGAATGCACCTAATTCTTACCAAATCTGCACCTAATCTCTTTGATGACAAATATCTTCATATAAAAATTTATTTCACGGTTTTAATCCATGACAATGTCTGATGATATGACAAAGTAAGTATATCAGCAATTAGTGCAACCCTAGCTGATAGAACCTGATTTGAACCAAATCCTCACCAAATGTGCACCTAATCTACACGAAATGAGTACCAAATTACAGGAAATATATCGCTTTTAACATGTCTTATTGTCTCAACTTCTGCAATGTGCACATTGCAGAAAGAATGCATGCATGTCTCAGCCCTATCCGTTATGGCCGAATATTCCATTGGCATTCGCCAGTGGCTAGCATGGTTTCGTGTTCATGCTTTCTGTGGGTTAAACAAAACGTCACAATGTATTAACTTTGATCAAATAGGTACTGCAGATGTAGCTACTTAAAGGGACCCTCCCACCTTCAAAAAAGTTAATGAATTGGCACGAAAGTGATGTCGCTCGGTTCAGAAAGAGCGAAAACGAATATCTACCAAATTTCATCGAAAAATATTCACCGGTTTTCAAGATATTAGACTTTTACTTTTGTTTACTTTTTGGGATCTCCGCTGTTCCTAGCGACTTTATTTGAAAGTGCGGCATTTGTTGCGCGCAAAGCAGCATATACCACCGCGTGCTACCAAACGTTTTAGTAAAAGATTTAAAAATCGTTAGATCTCCGCTGACGTCACAAATTCTAAGGGGGCATACCAATGCACTAGCCCCTTAGAATCCGAAAACTGCAAGTTTGAAATTCAATATCTCCGAATTAAAGCATTTGTCGATGTTGTGAGTGCCCAAACCGGTATTTGCAGGCCATGGCCACCAATTTGGCTATCTCAACTCAAAACTAATGTTAAGGTGGGAGTGTCCCTTTAAAACCAAGACGGCGGAGAACAAAATCAGACCGACAGGGTACATACGTGACTATTGAACTTCGACCTCGCCAGTGCGTTAGATACGCCCGGCGTCGTCGCGTGGTTGTTCAAAGGATGCGCCGAGCACCGGATGGACAGTCGGAGCCTGTTTGATGTGTGTGTGTGTGTGGGGGGGGGGGGACGGGGGGAGGCAAGAAAGATAGACATGCCGCCTAGATGACACATCCGCTGCAACTACGAGCCTTATCGTTTATGGACGGGCTAGAATGTCGGCGCTAGGTCTTATGACGGTGTTACTGTTTGTTGGGATGCGTGAGGACTGAGAGGTGTGGTGATACGACACGGATGGCATGCTGAATTCATTCCCATGTCCCCTTGCACATAGAACGAGGGGATCTTTCACGCTGGCAGTCCGGGAAGTGCAACAATAATCGTGTCGAGTGGGACAGCGGAAGGGGGGGGGGACTCATTCTGGTATGATTGTGATAGAACTGTATCAGGTCTGATTGACGACGATGACACCCCGGCCATTCGCACTGAGTCGGGACGGCGGCGTTTCATGTATTCTGTCGTGAAGGAATTCAATGAACTGCCCCATGATATGCGTGAGCTAGGCCTGCCCCGCTTCAAGTCGGAGCTGCGCCGGTACCTGCTGAGCGCTCAGGTCACATAGTGCATCGTGTAGTGAACGGAGCATGGTTTGTCACCGAATGTGGTAAGTGTGCTACTCCCTGTGTAACCTTGTGTACTGCTGACGAACTACCCGGAATAGCCACGGTGTCCGTGGATGGGTAGCGAACTGTGAAATAAATAGATGATGACTTGCTTTCAAGGTGTAGTAAATATCACCTTTTGGTGAAATAATTAATGTTTTGGGCAAATATCAGCAAATAGTGACAACAGCACAGACGTGCTTCATTGAAAGAAATTGGGTTTGCCTCGAGTCGATGAACACAATGGAATTTATTTTGACGATCGTCGTCCGCTATACGGTCGTCAACTTAGATGTAAGTGAATCCTAATCTATAATCTAAGATTCGGAATCAGGTGAGCCCCTACGATTTGGACCAAACTTGGTCAGTGGATAGTACGTAACGTCCTGATTACGATGCACCCAAAATCTAAGCTCGGCCCGCCATATTTACGAAGTTACGGATGTTTGAATTTCAAGGTCATTCGGGAGAGCCCCTACGATTTCCGTCAAAATTTGTGTACGGACACTCTAGATGCTCCTCATTAAGAATATCACAAAATTTAAGCTCGGCCCGCCATATTTACGAAGTTACGGAGGTTTGAATTTCAAGGTCATTTGGGTGAGCCCCTGCGATTTCCGTCAAAATTGGTATACGGACATATTCCATCCTCCTCATTACAAATATGATAAAGTTAAGCTCGGCCCGCCATACTTTTCAAGTTACGTAGTCACAAAGTTACGGAATTTCAAGGTCATTCGGAGAGCCCCTCCGATTTTCGTCAAAATTTGTATGCGGACACATTACATGCTCCTCATTACGAATATCGTAAAAGCTAAGCTCGGCCCGCACTATTTCAAAAGTTACTGACGTTTGAAACTCACTGAAATTCAAACATCTAACTTTTGAAATAGTGCGGGCCGAGCTTAGCTTTTACGATATTCGTAATGAGGAGCATGTAATGTGTCCGCATACAAATTTTGACGAAAATCGGAGGGGCTCTCCGAATGACCTTGAAATTCCGTAACTTTGTGACTACGTAACTTGAAAATATGGCGGGCCGAGCTTAACTTTTATTATATTTGTAATGAGGAGGATGTAATATGTCCGTATACCAATTTTGACGGAAATCGCAGGGGCTCACCCAAATGACCTTGAAATTCAAACCTCCGTAACTCGTAAATATGGCGGGCCGAGCTTAAATTTTGTGATATTCATAATGAGGAGCATCTAGAGTGTCCGTACACAAATTTTGACGGAAATCGTAGGGCTCTCCCGAATGACCTTGAAATTCAAACATCCGTAGACTTCGTAAATATGGCGGGCCGAGCTTAGATTTTGGGTGCATCGTAATCAGGACGTTACTACTATCCACTGACCAAGTTTGGTCCAAATCGTAGGGGCTCACCTGATTCCGAATCTTAGATTATAGATTAGGATTCACTTACATCTAAGTTGACGACCGTATAGCGGACGACGATCGTCAAATAAATTCCATTGTGTTCATCGACTCGAGGCAAACCCAATTTCTTTCAATGAAGCACGTCTGTGCTGTTGTCACTATTTGCTGATTTTTGCCCAAACATTAATTATTTCACCAAAAGTGATATTTTACTACACCTTGAAAGCAAGTCATCATCTATTTATTTCACAGTTCGCTACCCATCCACGGACACCGTGGCTATTCCGGGTAGTTCGTCAGCAGTACACAAGGTTACACAGGGAGTAGCACACTTACACATTCGGTGACAAACCATGCTCCGTTCACTACACGATGCACTATGTGACCTGAGCGCTCAGCAGGTACCGGCGCAGCTCCGACTTGAAGCGGGGCAGGCCTAGCTCACGCATATCATGGGGCAGTTCATTGAATTCCTTCACGACAGAATACATGAAACGCCGCCGTCCCGACTCAGTGCGAATGGCCGGGGTGTCATCGTCGTCAATCAACCTGATACAGTTCTATCACAATCATACCAGAATGAGTCCCCCCCCCCTCCGCTGTCCCACTCGACACGATTATTGTTGCACTTCCCGACTGCCAGCGTGAAAGATCCCCTCGTTCTATGTGCAAGGGGACATGGGAATGAATTCAGCATGCCATCCGTGTCGTATCACCACACCTCTCAGTCCCACGCATCCCAACAAACAGTAACACCGTCATAAGACCTAGCGCCGACATTCTAGCCCGTCCATAAACGATAAGGCTCGTAGTTGCAGCGGATGTGTCATCTAGGCGGCATGTCTATCTTTCTTGCCTCCCCCCGTCCCCCCCCCCCACACACACACACATCAAACAGGCTCCGACTGTCCATCCGGTGCTCGGCGCATCCTTTGAACAACCACGCGACGACGCCGGGCGTATCTAACGCACTGGCGAGGTCGAAGTTCAATAGTCACGTATGTACCCTGTCGGTCTGATTTTGTTCTCCGCCGTCTTGGTTTTAAAGGGACACTCCCACCTTAACATTAGTTTTGAGTTGAGATAGCCAAATTGGTGGCCATGGCCTGCAAATACCGGTTTGGCACTCACAATCGACAAATGCTTTAATTCGGAGATATTGAATTTCAAACTTGCAGTTTTCGGATTCTAAGGGGCTAGTGCATTGGTATGGCCCCTTAGAATTTGTGACGTCAGCGGAGATCTAACGATTTTTAATCTTTTACTAAAACGTTTGGTAGCACGCGGTGGTATATGCTGCTTTGCGCGCAACAAATGCCGCACTTTCAAATAAAGTCGCTAGGAACAGCGGAGATCCCAAAAAGTAAACAAAAGTAAAAGTCTAATATCTTGAAAACCGGTGAATATTTTCGATGAAATTTGGTAGATATTCGTTTTCGCTCTTTCTGAACCGAGCGACATCACTTTCGTGCCAATTCATTAACTTTTTGAAGGTGGGAGGGTCCCTTTAAGTAGCTACATCTGCAGTACCTATTTGATCAAAGTTAATACATTGTGACGTTTTGTTTAACCCACAGAAAGCATGAACACGAAACCATGCTAGCCACTGGCGAATGCCAATGGAATATTCGGCCATAACGGATAGGGCTGAGACATGCATGCATTCTTTCTGCAATGTGCACATTGCAGAAGTTGAGACAATAAGACATGTTAAAAGCGATATATTTCCTGTAATTTGGTACTCATTTCGTGTAGATTAGGTGCACATTTGGTGAGGATTTGGTTCAAATCAGGTTCTATCAGCTAGGGTTGCACTAATTGCTGATATACTTACTTTGTCATATCATCAGACATTGTCATGGATTAAACCGTGAAATAAATTTTTATATGAAGATATTTGTCATCAAAGAGATTAGGTGCAGATTTGGTAAGAATTAGGTGCATTCCCCAGATGAGATAGCCCGTCGTGAAAACGGCTAATGCCGATCACCGCGGCCGCCATGCAATGCTTTACCTACTGATGCATCGCTTTGCGGTATCCGAAGAATCCGCTAGTTCTAAAACGGACGAGTTACGTACCGAAAGGAACTGACAAAAGGTGTAGTTTATATGCATTTACCTTTACGCATTGTATCGACACATGTATGTTTCTGTACTACAGTCAAGTAAAGCCGCCAGTGTCGATACGAATTCGCCAGCGCCGGCGGCGACCCGTCAGGCTCGTCCCAGTCTCTGCGGTTACGACCCGTACGACCCGTACCGACCCGTACGGCGCAAACGGCCCCGGTCTCCGCCCGTACACAAGCATAGAACCCGATCCAGGTCACTCTTCAACTTGGAGTGGAAACTACTGAAGGTGAGAAACTACACCGCGTTTGAATAAGCACGCATATAATCCAGTTATGTAATGGAGGTTGCATCTAAGGCCTCCTTGAAGGAACTGCCTAATGAGACTACTTCAGCGACGTGGGTTTATAGAATATAAGGAAAATAATGGGCTAATTCTGTCACCAAGTAGTGTGCAAGCGCTACTCTCCCGTCCAAAAATACTTGTTATCAAACAGCGCAAATGGCTACTATTGGGCAGCTAGCGCCGATATCGGAGGTGCTCGATTTCAGCTCTGGTGGCCGCTGACCAAGCTATGATCACCGAAAGGTTAGAATGTTTGACTCGTTGACGCTCCTCGCGGTTCATTGTGACTGGCTCATCTCTGTAACAGCCGCTCGCTTCTGACACAGGCGCTGGAGAGGCGGGCGTTCCAGCCGCCGCTGCGGGCGTGGCGTTCTGGTATCGACGTGACGTCACTGGGTAGCTCCAGCTCGGCGCCGTCCCTCTCCACCAACGTGAGTGTCGGTGAGCTGCATGTGAGTGTCGGTGAGCTGCACGTGAGCGTCGGTATATCGCCGCAGCCGTCTCCGCTGGCTTCCGACCGACCGCGCCCTTCGGATGGCAATTTTTCGTTCGCCAAATTCCCACACTAAAAAAAAAAAAATGCATGGCCATGCATTGGGAAACTGTCCTGCGTTGTTACTATAAATGTTTATTTCATTTTCATGTAGCAGGCATATTTGAATTGGGTCTGAAACTTTCAATAATTGTCATACGCATTCACCTATAGGCATCAAACGTGCAATATTGTATGAAAAATACGCTTACAACCAAACCACAAAGCTAAAAAAGCGGTATATGTAATCGAGCCATCTACACGCAATCGGATCCATTCACCGCGATATTTCACCAATCGCTCCCCACATCACGCTGTGACAGGGTCATCTGCTGCACGTGGATTCGGTCGGTAACGATGAACGCTGGAGCAGTGGTCAGTTGGAGGTCTCCGGGGCGTACGACCGGCTCAACAAGAAGCTCACTGTCAGGGTGGTCCAGGCCAGAGGCGTGCTGAGCAGTCGGGAGAGCCAAAGCTACACACAGGTAGGTACGGCGAATCACTAGGAGGTTAGGGTCATTTTTAATTGTCTTTAGGGCATACTTCTAAGATTTTAATCCGATTGATTTCAGATGCTTTTTAAAAACAACACTGGATATGAATGTCATCTTTTTTGCAAACTTTTCCTATGCATGTAAACTCCATGCTACACTTTATTATTTAATTTGTTCTTTGCTTACCATTAAAAAAAAAAAAACGCACATCCTTCAGCGAGTACCTAGAAGTTACCATGTTTGGATGCGTTGCGAGAGGGAAAGACCCTCGCCTCACGGCCGTTTGAACGCCCTCAGTGGAGCTAGCCCTGCTACCAGAGAAGAAACAGAGATTCCTGAGCGAACTGCAGTATGGCGATAACCCTCGCTTCAACCAGACCTTCGTGTTTGACAACATACAGCCAGGTAAACCACTACTCTATTTGCACTTTTATTGCGTAGGTTCCTCTCTATATTTTATATAAATTATTATCTACGAGTCATGCATTTAAATTTTATTGAACAGCTTAGTTCATCACAAAACTATGTTCGTGATTTTAACCATGACTTTCATTTATGCAGTGCATTCATTTGCATCCAACCTAGATTAATGTTGTTTTCCATATCAGTTTTCCACATAATATATTCAGCATAGTTATTAGTTACCCATGCAACTACCCGTCCCGACAGAGGCCCTGCGGGAGTCGGCGGTGCGGCTACGACTCCTGGCCAGTGACCGTCTGCGGCGGCACCAGACTCTGGGCGAGGCCGTTCTGCCCTGCACTCCGGAGAGATTGCAGCGCCATACCTCGATCTGGCTCTCTCTGAGGCCGCACGTCAACAGCGGGGTAAGAAGAATGGAGCTGACTCGGGCTGCAAGCCTCTCTGAGCTGATCAGTGATCAGAGTTAAAACGGAGTTAAAACGGCCGCACCAAACGCGGCTTACGTTTGAGTCTGGGTGTGTGGGGTGTGTGGCACTGCACTATTTTATGCATGTAATCTGAATTATAATGAACATGGAACGTGCAAAGTCATACAGGTGTGAGTGGGGTGAATAGTGTCCGTGATAGCTTACGAAAATGTTTCATTTATCTCCAGATGAGCTGCCTTTCACATCCAAGATAGGGTTATAAAAGGACATGCTCTGGCTCCTGTGCCACCAGTGTATCTATGTCTTATTCTCATGAAACAATGATATACTCGTATTGTTATTGCTCCCGTACCGCCTTAAATGTAACAGCCGGGCCACAAGCCTGCATCTGTATTGCGAGTAGGACTGTCCGCTTTCGTGAAAAGTTAGTAGAATAGGAGCTTTCGGCTGAAGTCAGTCGGTCTCTTTCACCGGTGAACCGTCGGCTGACAGTGTGCACTGAGCCCATTCTCTGGTGTTTCCAGCGGGCGGTGGGGCGCGGCAGCGGCGCCTCCAGTCCAGTGGTGACCAGTGCCGGCAGCGCTCGCACCCTGCCGCGCTGGGGCGCTCCCGGTCTGCTGCTGGGTCTGCAGTACAGCCGCACCACGGGCCGACTCGCCGCAGAGGTCGTCAAAGGATCACACTTCAGGTGGGAGGTCTCACGAGGCGGTCCCGTACCGATGCCACCCGTGTTGCTTGTCTTCTTTTTCGTTTTTATCTTATTATCTTTGACAGGCTATCCCGGCACCGCCTGGGCTATTTCCGTACCCACATCAGCCTGGGGGGGGGGGGTCGGATCCGACCCCCCCCCCTGTTATCTCGAGAACCAATGGTCGTATCGAGCCCCGCGAGGCGGCGTTCGAAAGGTCTCTACGAGACCTTCCCAAAGCACCTTCAAGATTTTAAGATTGAGGTCAACTTTCGGGTCAAGGTCAGGTCAAAGGTCAAATTCAGGGGTTTTGCATGATTAGGCTTACGGACAGCGGAATCGATAGCTGCTGCTCGAAACTCACCACAAATGACCTCAAAGACATAGTGAAGGTACCATGTGCGTATAGGGGTCATACTAAGTACGGGTCAAGGTCAGGTCAGGTCACGAAAGGTCACGGTTTTCACTTTCTGCTACATGGGCGTGCGACACATGTTTTATGGCTTATTTTTCACGCCAAATCCGATGGTAATGGTTATATGTGACCCCACGTCACTGTGCTGGTGATAAGTGTGCATTGAAAGCATAAAAAATCGTTTATACCATACATAACTAAACGAGGGCTAAGAAAAAAAGTCAATTTTTAAACTTTTTATTTTTGACATAAAAATACACTTTTCTAGACGAGCTTTGTCCCAGGAATCTAGTGGTGCCATTTGTTTTCACATGCGATGTTCAGAAGTGCCTCTAATTCGCGAAAATGCTTATGACGTCACCATGCCCTATGCATATTGGAGCTATTTTTTACAATTTGGGGGTCAAAAATCAAGATAGAAAGTTGAAATTTTAGACATCTAATGTTCTAATAGAGCTCTATAACATATATTCCGGTTTTTTGGAAATTCTCAAAATTTTGGATTTTATTAGCTGTTTTCCAAAAAATATAGTTTTTTGAATTTTAGGGGTGAAAAACGTATTTTATGGAAAATCCGAGATAGCCATTTTAAAGAACTCGTTGAGCTGCGTCTTTTGATGTCCTTAATTTGCAATTTGCTTAAAACCTCGATTTTTGGCGATTTTTTAAACATTTACCATTTTTTGACTGAAAACGCCTTGTAGTTACATCACTAAAATCGATATATCTCAGAAATTTTTGAAAATTTTCTTAAAAATTGCACAGGAGACGTCAAATTGATGGGGGAGAAGGTATGCGAAGTTTCAAGTTGATAGCGCAAGCGGTTCATGAGTTATTCAAGAAAAACGGAGGGGGGGTCGGATCCGACCCCCCAGGCGGTCGCGGGCTATTTAGGATGACACTGTATTGCTGACCTGGGAATTGGCATTACCTAAATCATAAAGCCCACTAAAGAACTATGTGATCTGTTTGCGACTGTGTTTGTCTGTTTTCTTTTCTTTTCTTCTTCTTTTTAGCTCCGCCTAATTTAGCCCTAAGAAAGTCGACATACTTGTAGCCTTTGTTTATGAACATCAACTAGCATGACCTGTAATAACCTCTGCCGTTGACCCGTTGACCGCTCGCAGGTCAAACTCTGGCAGCCGTGCGCCGGACACCTATGTTCGCTTACTTCTGGTGAGCAGCAGCGGCAGCGAACTGGCCAGTGGGAAAACCTCCGTTCGCAGGGCACAGATCAACCCGCTCTTCAGAGAGACTCTGATGTTCCAGGTGAGCCAGTGACGTCACTAGAAAGAGTGGAAAGAGTTGCTAGAAAGAGTAGAAAGCTGCAACATTTTGCTAAAATAATTATGTCTATAAGATGTCAGAGTGACAACAGAAGCGCCTTTCTTGCAGCTGCCGCTGTTTCAGTTTTCGGATGTCTCGCTCATAGTAAGTGTCTACAACAAGCGGACAATGCGCAAGCGGGACCTGATCGGATGGTTCGGACTGGGCCACAGCAGCACCAGCAGTGAAGAGCGCCGCCACTGGGCGGACGCCCGCGACGCCCAGGGTGTACAAATCTGTCGGTGGCATCTGCTCTCCGCGGAATGAATCAAAACGAGCCGTGCTAAATTATGGTGATATTTGTTTTTGTGTGATTTAAAGGTGACTCATTACGCTCAAAAAAGTATGTGTCTATTGGATGGTTAAAACGGTGCTGGTGTTTCTTCAGTGTTATTTACCAATTGTTAAAGGCTATGAAACTATTTCGTAGCTCAAAATGTCTGCGTCATTAATCGTGAATATTGTATGTGCCTGAGTTGATTTAAAAATTATATTATCTGTACTGTTAAAGTGACCATCCCACCTTAACCATTAGTTTTGAGTTGAGATAGCCAAATTGGTGGCCATGGCCTGAAAATACCGGTTTGGGCACTCACAAGATCGAAAAATACTTTAATTTGGAGATATGGAATTTCAAACTTACAGTTCTCGGATTCTAAGGGGCTAATGCATTGGAATGTCCCCTTAGAATTTGTGACGTCAGCGGAGATCTAACGATTTTTTAATCTTTTACTTAAACGTTTGGTAGCACGCGGTGGTATATGCTGCTTTGCGCGCAACAAATGCCTCACTTTCAAATAAAGTCGCTAGGAACAGCGGAGATCCCAAAAAGTAAACAAAAGTAAAAATCTAATATCTTGAAAACCGGTGAATATATTTTCGGTGAAATTTGGTAGATATTCGTTTTCACTCTCTCTGAACCGAGCGACATCACAGTCATGCCAATTCATTAACTTTTTTGAAGGTGGGAGGGTCCCTTTAATTATTATACCATGTGTAGGTATTTGTGAATATGGAATGCATCACGATGTGTGCTAACGTAGGTAATGGTATGCTGTGTGTTACGTCTAGTCGTAGTTATATTGCTGAGTATTATGTATTAGGGGAAGTTGGGGCAATGCCGGAGTTGGGGCAAAGCCGAAATTCGAGATATTTCGAAAACCGTAACACATGGATGCCACCTGTCAGTGATGCTCTGAAGCTTAAGTGACTACAATTATCGCATGTTTGTTACGAGTCGTCATTCGGAATACTTCGACTGTGAGGGCGCCAAGAGCGTTTTCAAGGTACGTTTCCCTTGTACTACATGCGCCTTTGAAGCTGCATTTCTTACTCATTGTGCTACCGTTTGTCTAGCCAATTCGGTCAAGTAATCTTTAGCATGTCTTTGCATAAGTGTGCTGCCTATTTGAAATTTATACAGCACGTTGAAAAGTTATGGGCCTGCAAATGAAAGTATGGCAGGCTGGGGTAATGCCGAAAACGTGCGATTACGCACGTGTTAAAAGCACGCTACGTGGACTTTACTGCTGTAGAATAGCAACGCGTATTTTTAGTCGCACAAATTACACTTTCAACCGACACAACGGCCTGTTACCTATAAGGAATGATTTACCTGGCATTTTCTTATTATATCACACAATTATAACTTCCAGTGTGCACCGCGTCCTCAAGCTCTTAAAACGCGTGTCAGCTTTGATGAATTCTGGATAAAGTTTGAGATAAAATGGCAAAATATCAATGTCGGCATTCCCCGTAGATTATTTCTCCCATTTTCGGCTTTCCCCGCAGTCCGGGGCAACGCCGAAAAAGTCACTTCTTTGGTATTTTTAGTTTGTGCGCTTAACGGTATGCGAATTCATCAAATGCGCCTGGTATGTTTGAAAGGCAAAAGACTGGCCTCTCGAATGACGCCAACAAGAATAGCTTATGTTGTCTACCTTGCGTGCTACGGGCGTCAGAAAAAAAGTCTTCGGCGTTCCCCCAACTTCCCCTATAGTTAAGTTGCGTTGCTTCTCAGGTCCTCAGATTGTATATTATCAATACAATTGGTCACTTATTGTCGAATGTCGAGGGTACCGAACTGTTCGGTTAATTAACCAGCGCTGTTGCGGAGGGGTCGTTGTTACCGGCTTCCCATGAGATTTATCGCAAATATTTAAAAAAGGTTGCGTTTTTGCACAGGCCTTATAATGCACAATTTGTGCACATGATTCGAAAATGTCAGATCTAGATCCTTCACCGTCAGGTCACCAGGCCACGATAACTGACCTAATTAAGGGGAATATTCAATACCTATGCCTACCACTTTCCTCAAATATCTTTTTTGTCATGTTTTTATGACATTTAAACACAGAATGATGAAAAAGGAAAATAAATTATATAAACGAAAGGAAATTGTAAAATATTTTCATTTGGGAAGAACTGTTTTCCATCTTTGGCACAGGCTAAACAGTGTTTGCAGCGAAAGCTTAGTACGCGTTGACCACGAATCATATTGCGTAGCTCAAAACCTATTGCATGCTGATTAGCTGACGTCGGTCTCTGCCGGCTAGCTGCATTCTCTTGGCATTCTCGGCTTTCTTCCATAAGGCACCTCATTGATGCGTAAGGCAGGTAGGTAGGTAGGCCTACTGATCTCGGAACGAGAAATGGAATATCGTTGCATTGGGTGATCGTAGGGCCATAAAAACTCCTGATTTGTGCTGGTCTCATCTCAAGCTACAAATCTGCTATTCTAGTTTAACCCTCGCCCGTAAACGGTGTTTTGCCACCTTCGCCCATGCAGGGGGCATGGGCGACCCCCCCCCCTGGCGTTTGAAAACGGAGCGTCGTATAGCTTAGCGGAAAAGACCAACGGATTGCTCTCAACGAGCTCTCGCGATTGGTGGTATGTTTTTTGGTCCTAGGTCAACATTTGACCTACTTATGACCGGTCAAAGGTCAAATTTTCGGAAAAATCTAACTTTTTCAGATTTCCGCGCCGATTGCGGCAAAACGGTAAGAGATATCGACTTGAAACCTTCACTATCGTGATCCGTGATCAATTCTCTATCGTTTGGTGTGTATTTCGATGTCATAACTCTAAAAATGATGCGTTGGGAGCATCGGAAGTCTCCAAGGTCATTTGGGCATTGGGTCACGTCAGGCGTGTGACGTCACTGACCTGACCCTGACCCAAAATGAACTACAAGAAACAACCGACGATGCCTGAAATGGATAGCAAATTCGAATTCATGGCATCAAAATACCCCGAAAAGGCATACAAGTGCAAGAAGTCATTACAGGTCAACCGAGGCCACTGACCTTACCTTGACCTTTAGTAACCTTCAAAATGTCAACGGACATTGTGCCAATGTCAACTCAGCCAGTTGTGATTCTAAAGCAATCCATCAGTGTGTCAGGTCAGTCGGCATTTATACCAATGTGAAGCAATCTCCAATTTAGCGTAAATCTGGCCGGAGGTTGTTCCCTTTATGACGTCATAACTCCGTGACCTGACATGACCTTGACAAAAAAAATACCAAAAGTTGCGCAAAGGATGCCCCACAGGGTACTGAAAATTTGAGCAGGCTATCTGAAACGGTTCGGCGTGTAGCGAAGAACAACCTTAGGGGGGGGTGCACCCCCCCCCCCTCCCCCTACATGGGCGAGGGTTAAAAGTCCATGTTGAATGAAACTGGTATACTTTCCTATTCCCCGGGCCCGGTTAGGACTCGGCGCCACCCGTGCCGGGCCGCGGTTGGGGCTGACTGATCCCCCCCCCCCCCCCCCCTGCGCCGTCTAAATTGAGCCCTGGGTAACGTAGTATCACGCGGTAAGCGACTTCGTAAAAAAAAAAATCAGCAAAGGAACATAGGCGGCAGAACGGGGAGGGCACCGGGGCACCGTGCCCCTCTTTGATTTTGGCATTTTAACATTAGCCCTATGGGCGTTGCATGGAAAGAATGGGACCAAAAGTTGGCAGTGCCCCCCTGAAGGTGTTCTGCCGCTACTGCAAAGGAAGTCCGTCATTATTTGTCGGGTAAAAGTTTAGGTCACCAGGTCGGGTCAGGCCATGTCAGGTCAACCGGTAGGGGTCGTGACGGGTATTCGTAGTACCTGTCATCCGCCTCTGACAGCTTCGTAACATGTTACGAAGGCACCAAAACTACTTCGTAAATGTTCAAATGGTTGCTAAATTCGAATTCAGCTCCAAAAACTAGCCTATGAAACATGTAAAACTCGAAAAAGTGAACCGAGGTCACCAAAGGTCAATGACCTGACCTGACCTTCAGGTGACCTTGACACCCACCCTAATGCAAGGGAGCAACATCAAGTAACATTTTTAAATGTTTGAAACCACGAAAAGCTTGCAAACGCGCGGCTAATGCGAGCCGACATACGCCGAATCGCGATTCCGGCCAAACATGGTCTCGGAAAAGAGGTCACAGGTCAAAGGTCATTTGGGTCAGGGTCATGAAATTTTTAGGGTAGGTGTAAAATTGATCAATGCTAGGGTCCTGAAAGTTTCGTCGTGATCAGCCGCTTTTTACGCGAGTTATTCGCGAAAAACCTTAGGGGGGTTGCATCACCCCTCCCCGGCCCCCCCCCCTCCCCCCCTGTACCGGCGGGCGGGACGGGGGGTGAGACTAAATCAGTGGTCGGCAGGTCACTCGGGGTTGTGCCCCCTTTTTAGGCGCCAGGCAGGGCCATTACCCCCACCTACCAGACCCCATTGCTGTCACAACCAAGTTTACTGAAATTCCATACCTTTCTGGAACTCTTTGGGTATTTCTGCATTTCCAATGCATCAAATTTAAAACATGACACTTCCTCTACAAAGCATTTAGTATATCCCATTTAACCCTCGTACATATAGAGGCGGCGGGTGGTTTTTCGTTAAACGCTCACGTAAAAGCCGTTGGATCACGACCAAATTGTACCCCCGGCCAATCATTTGCCCGGGAATTCCTGAGGCCAGTTTTACCAACAGAAAAATAGCCGCCTGCCGGAGTTTTTGCCTAAAAACCGCTTCACATACGTAAGCGCGATGAGCATGTAAGTGGATAGGGTTTTACCGTTTACGTTTACGTTTACGTAATCATTGGCTTCGGAGCGTAAGCGCGATGAGCATGTAAGTGGATAGGGCTTTACCGTTTACGCTCCGTATGTGAAGCGGTCTTAACCCGGCACCGCCTGGGCTATTTCCGTACCCACGACAGCCTGGGGGGGGGGGTCGGATCCGACCCCCCCCCCTGTTATCTCGAGAACCAATGGTCGTATCGAGCCCCGCGAGGCGGCGTTCGAAAGGTCTCTACGAGGCCTTCCCAAAGCACTCTTAAGATTTTAAGATTGAGGTCAAATTTCGGGTCAAGGTCAGGTCAAAGGTCAAATTCAGGGGTTTTGCATGAATCGGCTTAC